TCTCCTAATCAATAATTCTTCATCAATTCAAAGCTAAATATGTTTAGAACCCTTACCTTCTGTGGCAGCTAATAGACGGCCCTAATGCACCTCTCCATTGTAGCGGCCAACATTGCCCTTATTTCGCCAAGAATCCTCCTAGCTTCATACTTTTGATCTTTAATCTCGGACAAAGGTGGTGGTGAAGCTGTCGGGTGGTTGCCCATGTCGGGACCGCTGCGAGGTTTTTGGGTTTAGGAGAGAGGGAGAATCGAAGAACTCCGCTACTGATGGGAATTGGACACGCAATGGCAAAACAAAAGCTGCTTCATCGCGGTTATCGCAAGAAAGAATACTTCATTGTAGATACGTTAAGCAACTGTCGGATTTCGCTGCTGACAGATTAAGCAAACGACATATTTCCCCATCCTTCACCGCCGGCCAAACAAATTTCCGATCTTAACCCACACAACTTTCGATGGCCACATCTGATTTCGCTGTTGTAGGATTGGGAATTCGGTAGCGGCAGACGAGGGATTGTAATTTTTTTAGGAAATTATGGAACAAATTGGTTTTGGACTGTTGAAGGCAGAATAGGAACTGAAATTGGCAAGGCGTGATCTTCTGGAAGGTTTGGAAGAGGAAGAGGGAGTTGGACACCGATTGGGAGTTGGAAGGTTCGGAAGGTTCGCAAAAACCTGACCTGTGACACCTCCCCGGCCGAAACTTTGTCGCCTGAAAGTGAGTTGTGGAGAAAAAATTGTTTTGCCACCTCCGAACCTTGTGCGACCCGCCAACATCCCGCCTCCGGCTAGAACCCCAGCAGCAGCACCAACTCCTCGTGTTTCAACAATAGCCCACAACTCCGGCAACAAACAGACACCACTTCATCGACTGTCAATACCGAACAGCAAAACAATTCCAAATATGTGAAGACAACATTAGTGGGATCTTCTTATTCTCGTGTGAATAAAATGAGTTTATTATTCTTGGGCATAATTGGATGTAAAATAGCACAATTGGTGTAGAATGTCTAAACTTAGGGTTTAAGAATGAAACTTATGGCTAATATCTCAACGGTGATTTAGGAATCGACGCTTCTTCACGATGCAAGAACACGAAGAAAATGTAGGAAGCAGTGGCATCCTTCGTATATGGAGGGAGGGAGGTAATCTCTCGATGATTTTATTCTCGGGAGTGTGGTAAAAAAAAAAAATCTCGGGAGAAGAGAACTGGTAAAAAAAAAACAAAAAAGCTCTATTTATATTTTGCCGGAAAAAAGGAGAAGGCTAAAAAAAAAAGAAAAGGGAAACCTTCACAAAACGACGTCGGTTTGGAAATAGGGGCTTTTTACATAAAAATAAAACGGAAAAAATGCCAATTAGTTATTTACATTGTTGTCATTAATTAAAAAAGTGACGTAAAACTGATGTCACGTGATTATCGCGTGACCATTCAAATTGCAAAAATTAATTAGTCAAGCGTAACTTTTATATTAATTACTTATTATAGATACTCACTAATATATAAAATAAATTAATTAGTCAAGCGTGACTTTTATATTAATTACTTATTATTGATACTCACTAGTATATAAAATAAATTATTCTTGTGGATAGTTACTCTCTCGTCTCTTTCTTTTTTCCTTTTTTTTTTTTCCTAAAATACACTCTTTCTATCTCTGTAAATTCTTTTTTTTTTTTAATTTTTTATAACAGAGACTGTTTCTTGAGTTTTCAAAAGAGCAGGTTGGCAATAGTTTAAAAAAGCGTGCAGTTTGAATGCCCTACCATATATGGGCACTAATTACGGTCACCAGCCAGCGGTCCTCCTTTCACATTTTTCTCTAGAAATTGATCCGGTCCCATTTTAATTAGCAAGGGTTACCTTTCACGAGGAAAATATGGAAGTTAGTGGATTCCTCTCCAAATATCTATCATTTTTGTTCTCTTTTGAGCAAATACAACAATAAACACATTTTTTTATGATATAATCCTGTCTCATTTTAATAATTCGGTTTGTTTAATTTATTAAAACGTGAAAGGAAACAGTAAACCAAAAAATAAAGGATGAGACATGTAACTTGAAAGTGCTCTAAAGGCATTTGAGTTCAACTCTAATTGCAAAGGACTTTTTCTTCATAGTTGTGGTAGTTTAATGTTGAAGTTACTTATAAACAATTTGGAACGATACGTATGTACATTATAATCCTCTATGATCATCAACTTCGAAAAATTTTTCCTAGCTAAAACCGAAACATTTTTTTTTTTTTTTGAATCACGATTAACTAGCTAGATTAAGTCAGTTTGGAAGATCCATCACTAAAGATAAATATGAAAATACTCCCTCTGTCCCAAAATTATTGTCCAGTTTGAGATTTCACTTTTAGTACAATTTGAACTAGAAATGAAAATCCAAACTGGACAATAATTATGGGACGGAAGGAGTAGTATTTAGCAAGTTTTACAGAGTAAGCTAGCCATGAATTTATCATCAAAGCAATTTGTGTAGTTCACTCTTTTATTTCTGTTTGGATTACAAAGTCCATATTTTGACCGATTCGCCAGCGAATATAGGTTCGCATAAGAAATGAACGAAAATTAATGAGGATGGACAAGACACAATTCATTACTTTTATAAGAAAATTATTCTAATTTGAGGACATGAATAAAATAAGTATGTGTTAGCTATCATTATTTCTTCAAGTTATAACTACTGTTTTTTAACTCATGATGAACCTCAGAAAATCACACGTACATCAATAACATTTTTTTTCTGTCTCCTAATGATTGTCATATTAATTTATTATATCATATATAACATCGTACAACAAATATGAAAATCATTTTGAAACAAGAGAGTATGAGATTTTGAGATCTTTGAAAATTTTATTTAAGCAGCCAAAAGGAGAAATAATAACTTCCACTCTTCAGAAAAGAAAAAATAATAATAATATTTAAAAAAATCTACATCTCAAAGCTTAATGTGAAAAATACGTTTCTTTCTTATTTTTCTACTTGTTTTTTGTTTTTGTAAAACACAAGAAAAGTAACACAAAAGTCAATCAATCCTAACTTCCTAGTGTTAATATATCTCCCCCACCTATAAAAGTCAATCTATCAGTATCTTTTTTGCTATTGGTTTCTGTAATTTTAAAACAAATGAAAAGGAAGCCGACTCCAAAGTCAAAATGGATTAATAAATTAAAACTGATTTCTTTTCACTGCGAGTCTGAGACAGACTGATACATTTTGAACATAGGAATTCGGTAAAATGTATGGTCCTGCCAAACATAAGTTGACGGTGGTGCCGGTGAAAACTCGGAATCGTTCGTTAATTTCTGATGTTTGACTTTCATTGGACTCAAACCTTGGACTGACATTATTAGGTTAGAAGTCAGGTTCACATGTAGTTTGGGAAAATGACAAATGTTATTTCATGATTTCCAAGTACACTTTACGTGCTGTTGATCAGCTTAAAATCTAGTGTTGCTCTTTGTCTTTAAATGATTATGTTATTGAGCGATAAGATAATTCTTGGAAAACTCTTTCATACAAAGTGAATTTCGAATCGTAAAAAGTATCATTTCCTATTGATTTCCCCCTTGAACGGGACATATTCTCATTCTTAACTACCCGTCATCACGTTGTTCCGGTAACTAGCAAAGTCGAAATAGCGAAATCCTTAGTTCATCATCACAATGTCTTCAAAACTGGGTTTTCGTGTTTTCTTTGTTTTCTAAAAAAGATTTTGGGTCTTTTGTTTTGGCTTTACTATCCATGTAACTGATAGAATGAAATAGGACAAAATCTCTAGGAAGTCATATTCATGTCTAGATAAATCAAATATTTTTATATGTTTAATTGAGCATTTCCTTTTCTTTTTTTTTTTTTTTATATTTCCCTCCGGGAAAAAGATTTTTAGAGGAAAAGATATCCGTACATTTTGGGAAGAGGAGGACCATTACTAAACAATAAAAGTGAAAATAATAGCTGAGATGTCCCCTTTTAAGGGCGTTCCACAATCATCAAATTATAAGTATCACAATTAACTTTTGTGAATCAATTTCAAATAATGCAAAGAGTTTATAATGTACGTTGATAAGAATTTTGTATGAAGTAAGATTCATTATAAAGTCACAAAATAAAATTAAACAAATGAGGTTTAAACAATAAATAATGAGCTAGATAAATTTAGATGGAGTTGTTAATTAATGCCACTCTCCCCATCCCTCATTATTAGAACTCTTCCTTTGTCTTCATGAGAACCTCCTAATTTGAACGTCAATTGGCCATCACCTGCCCCTTTTGTCTTTATCTTAGTTTTGAGGTGGATTCAACAACCATAAATAGAATGGAAAAAAAAAAAAAAAAGAACCGAGAGATGGAGGGGGTGGTCGCAAAAGAAAAAGAAAAGAGAAAGGAAAGGAGAAGAGTTGAAGTTGATGAATTGATTAAACTAGTAAGGGATAGCAACTATGGCGCATTTGGGCTGAACTACAAATTGTGTTCTTCTTTGATCTCTAATCAAAACTGTGTTAGAAATTCGTCAAAATTTGTGAAACTCTAAAACATTCGATTGCGTTTTTGCATTAGAATGATTATCCGAAACAAAAATTAAAATATGATAGAAAAATATATGTAGCGAGAAGAAGAAGTATCAAGGACATGATAATTATTTGTTTGCTTTTGCCAGGAAAATACAAAGTGAAAAAAAAAAACACCACTATAGTGAAATTTAAAATTTTTGTCATCTCCCTTTTAATTGAGAAACACATTAAATGTTCTTGTCCAAGTTAGTGTACTTTTTTTTTTTTGAATAATCTAAAGATAGTTTCTCTTGTCCAAGTTGTGTATCTATATATATATATATATATATATATATATATATATATATTAATTTGTCTTCAAAAGCAACAGAAACATTAATACAACCACTAAGAGATGCAAAAAACAACGATTTGGCCATGACCACAGTCACTATATACATTATCCTAAGAGATGCAAAAAACAACGATTTGGCCATGACCACAGTCACTATATACATTATCCGCATAGCTTCATGTGGAGAAATATGTACATCTTTTGTTCCAAAATAATGTGTCCAGTTTAAATTTTTAGATTTTTTCAATATAAATTTTCGGGCACTCATTGAATCCGCAGGCCAGTTACTTAAATATTCAGTGGCCAAGCAAAGGGGAGACACACGTCTTAAGCAGTGGAAATTCTCTCCCGGGAGAGGTGGGCTTTTGTGGGAATTTGGATTGTTCAATGAATATTCCTCCAAATTCCTGAACTTCGGTTTTGGAGAAACTCATGATTCATGAATCCTAGACTCTTAGTACATAAAACATCTTGTGTTTCATCTAACCACTGAATCCAATTCTGAATCGCCAAAAATCTTGTTTTGGCTTCGTGATCTTCTTCTGCCTCTTCTATTGCTACCACTATCAGCGCCACATACAATGGTAAATTCACATCCGTAAGCAGTTCCAAAGCACGAAAACATTCCACCCCTTTCATCGACACTATGTCTTCGGGCATGATGTCGTGTTGACGTCTTCCTCCGGTTCTTATTATTATTCGCGTATTTCGGGTACCCGACCGCGCTGTTCATGTCGTAATTCCCCGGAAGCTCCATTTTCCATCTCTCGATTTTCGATTTCAGGCCTTCCGTCGTGTGCGAATCGTCCGCCGTCCAATCCCCCAGTATAGAACTTCCCGGATAATGAGGCCTCATCAACGGGGTAGGATACAATCCACGTGCTACAGCAGCTGCAACTATCGATGGGGACGGGCCCACGTCGGAGTTACATACCGACCCGTTTTTTCCTATCCCGACATCCGACCCGTTTATGATCGAATCATTCACGGAGGAGCCGTTTAGTATGGAGCCCTGCGCCCGGATTAACTGTTCGTCTTCGTCTTTTCCTTTGATGTTCGTGCAATCGCTCTGCGATCGCCGTAGATTTTTCCTAATCTTGGGGAAGATTTCGTCATTGTTGTTACCATCATCATTAGCTGCAGCAGCATCTTTATTGGATCTCCGTTCTTGACGATACTGATCGTAAATCTTCACGTCCATGAGGTCCTGGAACCCGACCGCGGACGCGCTGAGCTGGGTATACAAAGGCATGCTCTTCATGTTGTTGTCTAACAGGGTCACGCCCATATTCAATATCCCCTGTGGCCGACCCGACGGGCGCCGGATCTGGAGCGCCACGAACCGGCGTTTGTTGGAATTCTTACGGTTTCTCACGTGCTGAGGAAGGAGGTTACTGATGAGAACCCGGACCGACCCGACGATCACGTCGCGGAACCAGCCTTGAGCGTAGATCTCGATCATGACCGAAGAAGTTTCCGAATCGAGAAACTTTTCGTCCACCCGGAAAACAAATTTGTCATTCCATGTGGGATTTATTTGGCCCTGTTGATCTATCCGGGTTCGTAATTTCCTCTCCGGGTTGATCCAGGAGATTGCATACGTACGCATGTTTTTGGAAACATGGGCAAGATCTTGAGCTGAGATCACATTTAGCTCCAGGAGATGGAAAAGAAAAGGAGACATTTAAAAATTGGGAAAAAAAAACAAGAACAAATGCTGGGTATGATCTGAATCTTTCTTAATCAATATCAATGGAAGTTTCTTTTGTTGGCAGATTATTCTATCTCGCCATTTTTAAGTCCATTGTGAATTTGGGATCGATGATGACGAGAGGAACACGTTGTTGAGGGAAAACATTGGAAAGATCTTCTGTGATGATATATAAATTTTTAAAAAAAATCTGGAAAAGGTGAAGATTCCTGAATATTTGTTTGTATTGCTTTGACTGCTTTTTGTAAGATTTCTTCGAGATTTGGTTTGATGGATGGTTCGTAGATGAATGTTTGGTTTGTTTGGATTTTTTTTTTACCACCATTTTTGCAGGTTTTGCCAGTGTGGACTTCTAGCGAATTTGACTCTTCATCTCTCTTAATCAAGATTCAGTTTTTTTTTTCTCTTTTTTTCCTTCTCAATTTTCTTTTACCATTTTTGTGTATTATAATTTTCGTTGGCCCTTCGATCTCTTCATGCTAATGAAATTGTTGGAACAAGCGACAAAGAAATAAAGTATTTTATTTACTTATTTTGCACTAACGAATTCCCATCCCGATAATCTCATCACACATGTAATTTGATTCCTAAACCTTATAGAAACTAGAGTAATTGACTATAATCGTCATACCAAATAAGTTTTATCCATTTTTACACAGAATATAAATATTTCAACAAGTAAGGTAATTTCTCAAATGATGAAAGAAAAAAATACTGTAAAAGTTTTGTAAAGGTAGATTCTGTAGTTCATTCCTTATTGAAAAACAAGGTTAGGACCTCAAGAAACTCTAGGATCAGAAGACATGATGATGAAGAAGAAGCTGATGAAATGTATATGAGAAAGGGAAATTGAGAGAACTTCTTGATAATCAAGAAAAGAATGTAAATGACTGATGTATTATTCATCACCTTTCTGTTATGTACAACTTGCTTATTTATAGATAAATACATCTAGGAATTATGCTAGAGTAACCTGACTGTGCAAATAGAAATCTAACTAGCTCTAGTATATACAATACTAATCCGGAAAACTTTAGTCACAGCTTGGTGACTTTAGTTGCTATGGAACAGCCTGGATCCTCCTGGATCTTCCTGTTTATTTCCTGGCGAGTAAGCTTTCAGCTGCTTCAAGAAGTAGAGGAGAGCTAATCAAGTGTTATGCAACATGTGCACATGGATACTCCTGCAACTCATCCCTGGGGACCACAGAATCCTTTTCAGGTTCATTATTGACTTGGAACGACGACGTTGCTAGATACTTCATCACCCCCCCCTCCCCCCGGTCAAACTGAGCATGTACCAGACTCAGCTTAGACATAAGAAACTGGGAATAAGAAGGAGCAAGGGGTTTGGTAAAAGCATCAGCAAGTGGATGCATGGTGGAAACATGGAAGGGTTTGAGAAAGCCAGCTTTGTAAAGATCTCAGACGACGGGACAATCTATATCAATATGCTTTGTCCTTTTATGGTAAACAGGATTTTTAGTGATGTGGATCGCTGCCTTGTTGTCACAGAAAAGTGAATTGGAGTCGAAAGACGAATACCAAAATCAGTGAGGATGTATGAGATCCATTGAAGTTCTGGAGCAGTGAAAGCCATGGATCTGTATTCAGCTTCGGCAGAGGAACATGACACCAGTTGATTGCTTCTTAGTTTTCCATGAAATCAAACAGTTGCCAAGGAAAATACAATAGCCAGTAAGTGATCGTGTCATTGTGCGACAAGTTCCCCAGTCAACATCTGTGAAGGCAACAAGATCAAGTGAAGTAGTAGCTGGATAAAATAAACCTTGAGATTTGCTGCCAGAAAGATACTTCAAAACATGTAATGCTGCTTGCCAATGAGATTCTCGTGGTTTCTGAACATATTGACTGAGTTGTTGGACAGGATATGTGATGTCTGGCATGGTAAAATTAAGATACAGTAAACGTCCTACCAATCGACAATATTGAGCAACATCTTCGAAAAAGGGAGAAGGATTTTTGTCATCTGCTAGAAAACGAAGATCAGAAGGAAATGGTGTAGTGGCAGGGTGGCAATCCAGCATGTGTGCATCAGTCAGGATATCAGTGACATATTTAGTCTGAAATAAAGAAGAACGTGCAATTTCCATGCCAAGAAAGTACTTGGCAACACCAAGGTCCTTGATAGAAAAGGCTTTATCCAAAAAGTGTTTGACTTGCAGAATCAAAGCTTCATCAGAACCAATAAGCAACACATCATCAACATGCACAAGGAGGAACAAAAGTTGATGATTCTGATTATAGAGAAATAGGCAATGATCATGGTAAAATTGACTAAAACCAAAGGAGAGTAACTTGGAAGTAAACTCCTTGTTCCATTCCCTGGAAGCCTGCTTAAGGCCATAAAATGACTTCTTAAGCCGGCAAACTTGTCCAGATTTAGCAGCAGTATAACCTGGAGTAGGAGTCATATATACTTCCTCTGTTAAATGACCATGGATGAAGGCATTATTGACGTCTAGTTGTTGCAAAATCCAGCCTTTTGAAACAGCAATGAGTTTTCTAAGAGCTAGAATGTAAAGCTTATACCCATTCTGATGATTAGGATAGCCAAGAAATAAGCCTTTTTGAGACCTGGAATCAAACTTGTGACGCTGAAGACTAGTATCTATGGCAAATGCCAAGCAACCAAACACCCTAAGATGGTCATATGTAGGTGGCTTTGCATATAGAATTTCAAAAGGTGTTTTCCAGTGTAAGACAACATAAGGTGTAAGATTAATCAAATCTGTGGCTGTAAGTATAGATTCCCCCAAGAATTTCTTTGGTAAATGAGATTCAAGAAGAACAGAACGTGCAACTTGTAACAAATGACGGTGTTTTCTTTCAACACCGGTTTGTTGAGGTGTGTAAGGACAAGTAGTTTGATGCATAATGCCATTTTTACTATGCAAATCTTGACATAAGAAACTGGTGAATTCAGTACCATTGTCGGTTCTAATGTTTGTATATTGGTGTGAAACTGAGTTTTGACATAGGCAATAAAACTGTCACTCAAACCAACAACTTGTGTTTTGTATTTAAACAGAAAGGTCTAGGTACAACGAGTATAATCATCAACAATGGTAAGGAAAAATTGACAACCACTTAAAGAAGGTTCTTTATAAGGACCCCATACATCAATGTGAAGTAATGAGAACATTTTTTTACTTTGAATATGACTAACAGGAAAGGGATCATGATGTTCTTGGACATAGGACATATTTAACACAAGCTAACATCAGAAGAGCATGAAGAAGAGGAAATACTAGAAGGCAAATGCCTCATTACATTAGTAGATGGATGACCTAACCTAGAGTGCCAAGGATGATCAGAATGAGGAACCAAAGCATTAATATTAAGCTGATCAGAAGAACTTCTACCATAAAATTCTCAAGAAAAAAGCATGTCGGATGCATAGAGACTTTGAGACTTCTGAATTGCCTCTAGAGTGAAAGATGATTGATCAAGAGCATACAAGCCATTAACCACTTGACCAGCATCTAAGACTCTTAAGAGTTTGAAGGTCCTGCAACAAGCAAAATTCATCAAAAAATTGGAAGAATATATGTGAATCTTTGGCTAGTTTTTGAACCGATAGGAGATTATATTTGAACTTTGGAAGATGTAAACAGGATTTAAGGGTCACAGAATCAGAAAGTAGTTACTGACTAAATACTCCCATCTGGTAAACAGACTGGAGTATAATCTTTAACAGCTTGTGGATTAGTTAACATTTTTAGGAAGGAATTCATGTGCCATGTAGCTCCAGTGTCTATGAAATGTAGAAGATAAAACAAAAAATCAGACTAACAAAGTAATTGAGGCAAGACAGAGCTACCTGCAAAATCTTGAATGTGTGCAAAGTTGACAATATGTGATCCTTCTGCTACTGCTTTTCCCTTAATCAATTTGCTGATTTCCCTTTGAACAGCAGTTGCTATAGCTTCTTTCGATCCAGAATCCTGAGTTTCATTTGGGGGTGTCTCAACAAGATTTGCAGCAGCTGAACCAGCAGATGACTTCTTGTTACTTTCCCACTTAGGAGGAAATTCATTAAGCTTGAAGCATTTCTCCTTGATATGTCCATCTCTACGGCAGTAAGAACATATCTGTTGAGTTAGATAGCCTACCAACTTAAAAGACTTTTCCTTGATGTGCCATATCCTCTTACAGTAATTATAGAACAGTTGTACCTTATCATTCTTAGCAACAACTTTCTGATCAAAGGTCTTTTTCCAAGAAGCACCTTCCTTGGAAATCATGGCAACATTCTCCGAATTAACAGCAACATTAACACTAACTTGTCGATTCTTTTCAACTTTACATATCATAGAATAAGACTTGTTGACATTTGGCACAGGATCCATCATTAAAATCTGGTTCTTCTCAGCATCAAATATATCACTTAGTCCCATTAAAACTCCACAGTCTTATCCTTAGTAACTCTAGCATCAATCAATCTAGTTACAACATCCAAAGCATCCTTGACACCCAAGACATAGTGATTGTCTTTTCTGGACTAATCAATGAAATAACAACTCCTTCACAGTATAAATCTAGATGCAACTGACCTAATTGATCCCTTAGTTTCTTAAGCTTGCCATAAAACTGAGTGACAAACATATTTTCTGGCTTAATCACAACTATTTCTCTCTTAATTTGGAAAAGCAAAGACAGATTAGCATATCCATAATGTTCTTTAATTTCATGCCATAAATCTCTCGCATTACTGATGTACATGGATTGATTCACAATTTCATCAGAAATAGAACTCAGAATCTAGTAAACAACCATACTGTTCACCTTTTTCTATTTTTGATAGTAAGGAGAAGCTGGATCTGGTAGCTTCCATCCACAAAGCCTAACTTGCTCTTTGCCTCCAAAGCTGTTTCCATTGCTGTCTTCCAGAGCAAGAAGTTAAGATTTATGAGTGGAGTCAAAACTAGCTTCATGCCTGGATGATCGGAGACATGGAGAAGCAGTTGTTCCTCAAATTCCTTAGCAACAAGACTCTGTTCGTCAGTGATTGCCATGATTAAAGACAAATCTTTACAGAATTGATTCGCGGAAGCAACAAAAAAAATTTGTCATAAGAAGAGGATTAATCAGAGTTCTAATGGTTAGGAACATGCTCAATAGAGCTCCGATACCATCAAGAAACTCCAGGATTAGAAGAAATTATGATGAAGAAGAATATGATAAAGTGTATAAACCCTCATTGATGAGAAAGGGAAATTGAGAAAACTTCTTGATGAACGAGAAAAAAATGTAAATGACTGATGTATTATTCATCACCTTTCTGTTATGTACAACTTTCTTATTTATAGATAAATACATCTAGGAATTATGCTAGAGTAACCTGACTGTACAAATGGAAATCTAACTAGCTCTAGTATATACAATACTAATTAATCCGGAAAAGTTTAGTCACAGCTTGGTGACTTTAGCTGCTGTGGAATAGCCTGGATACTCCTGGATCTCCTGCTGATTTCCTGGCGTGGAGAGCAAGCTTTCAGCTGCTTCTAGAAGTAGAGGAGAGCTAATCAAGTGTGATGCAGCATGTGCACGTGAACACTCCTGCAGCTCATCCTTGGGGACCACATAATCCTTTTCAGGTTCATTGCTGACTTGGAACGACGAGTTGCTGGATACTTCACCAGGTCCTATCTTTCTTCTTCTATTTTTATCCGATAACCTAATGTAACATCTATGTAGATATTGTTCAAACATTTTATAATACGAAGAATAAGGTGATGTTTGGTTTGGTCATGGTTTCAATATGAAGATGTGTATAAATTATAATTATATGCAAGGTTTCGTTTTGGTATAATCATTTCAAAATTGTTTTGATACATGACTCAGTGCTAAATATTATTGTATTTTTACTATTTAATTTATTGAATTTTAAGAAATAAAACTTCGAAATTGAACTTCTTAAAACTCAATAAAAATTTTGCCACTCAAATTTAATAATTTTGATTAACCCAATAAAATAAGGAGACTCGAGATTTAGATTTTGAGAAGGCAGTCTATTGATAAGATAAGCCGCCGTAGATGAAGCTTCTACCCAAAATCTTGTAGGAAGAGAAGTTTCAAATAACAAAGAACGAGCAACATCTAGAAGATGACAATTCTTTCTCTCAGCCATATCATTTTGTTGAGGTGTGTGAGGACAAGAATGTTGAGAAGGAATGCCTTTTTCATTTAAGAAATCATGAAATGCCTTACAAATGTATTCTCCACCGGAATCGATACGCAGAGTTTTAATGATAGCAGAAAGTTGAGTTTCAACATACGCGATGAAAGTCTTGAAAATAGAGAAACTTCATATTTGGATTGTAGAAAATAAATCCAAGTAAAACAACTATTGTCATCAATAAATGTTACAAAATATTTATAACGACTATGAGAAGTGATTGGAGTGACCTACCCCCACATCACTGTGAACAACATCAAAGCATTTTTATATACGACTACCAACGAGAGCACAATGCAAAATTGTACTTTTGCCTAACTTACAAGAGGAATAATCTAAGGAACTTGGAACCGAAGCTTTATCACCTACTAGCTAATTTTGGCACCGTGCCATGCCCGGTGAATTTTTGTGATGCCCAGTAATAAAATAATTATAACATTGTAAATATATTATGTAATTCTTTTAAATGGAATGTGTGTTTGTCACTTTTTTAACGGGCGACTGCAAATCAAGTAGCATTTCAGTGTAAAAGAGGGAGGTTTCAAAACAATGGTTTAAATTGAACACTTCACTCTCAAGGCATTTAAATTCCGCCGAATTGGGAGCTGGAATTCTTGAATTTGCAACGCAACAACCTACTATAATTTTAACATAAAGTTATCAAAATAAAAAAAATGAACAAAGTAAGACATTATAGTGGCCTAGAAAAATTAATATCTTACAAGGACGAAAAAAACCAATACAAATTTAACAGCTAGTAATACCATGATATAAGTGCAAATTTATGAATCTTGCAAGGCAGCAGGCCATCTATCTGCCAAAATACAGTGAAAGTAATGCCTGATTCTGAGTCTTGCTCTGACCTTTTAAACTTTCTCTCCTATCCTCGGGTTAAATTCTAGACCATGCTTCACAAATGGTAATTTTTAGAATATGACCTCATTTCTTCCCAACATTCATCATTTGTGTCTCCCCCTCTGAAAAAAGTTATTTGTACTTAAATATGAATGAAAATTTAGATGATAATGATTTACACTAATAATAAAAAATGGTTCCTTAGCTTAAACCACAATTTCCCAAAATAATATAACAAAGAGAAAAATAGGGAAATTGAGAAAGTAACCAACCTCATTTCTAACTAAGCATAGATGCCTTTTCAAAAAAAAAAAAACTAAGCATAGATGACATTGAACATTTGCAACAAGGCATCGACCAACCGTTAGGCATTGTTTTGTTCATTCCATCATTCCTTTGCCTTCCTGTTCTTTCGAGATGGATTCTTCAAATTGATACTGATAATGTTTGTAAGAAGTAAAATTGTAAAGAGTATATGAGATTTTGAAATCATAAAAAATGCAAGAGTAAATTTAATTAAAAAAACATACAGAATCAATTTAAAGGACATGTTAAACCATACCTGGACAAACATTTTTGTGTGGACCATTCGCATTTGCTAATTGAACCGCTTCTCGAAAAACAACATCTCGTGTCTTTCATTCATTCTCTTCACTCAACAACTAGGCACAATTAGAACCTTCACTTGGTTTGCCATTATTGCTCGAGATAACTCAAGATACACTTTTTCAAGCCTCGTGACTTCCAGGATTCATGATAGAACCCACTTTTCTTCACCCCAATTCCAACAAAAATATCAACAACATCCTTCAATAGGGCTGGATAAATTTACTCTCCGCCATCCTGTTGCTTAAACCAAATCTTGGAAGCAATTGAATCCAACTTTGGTTACGGAAGTTCATGGCCATGTTTTTTCTCCTTGTATCCCCAAAGGCTTCACTTCCTTGTACTCTTCAAAAGTAGGCGTCACTCGATGTTGATTTTCATGGTCGCAGTCCCTTTATTTTTATTGGAAAACACGTGTAAATTGTTTCATATGGCCTCAAATATTCTTTAGATCTGAAATGTTGATCCAATTTCCTTCCACAGTTTTCTGAAACTTAGTGACACCTATTTGCACAATTGCCTAACAGCCCCAACCCTCGTCAAAAATCAATCATTTTACTGTATTCAAACAATCGATCTATCTTTTTTTTTTCTACATTGTTCAAAAATCAATAGCAAGACACCATAACCACAATCCCTAATCAGAATCCAATATCATGATAAAAAAATAGAACAAAAGCCGGTCATGGACAAGATCAATGACGTTTTGGGGATCACCTCAAAAAGGCAAAAAAAATGATCAAAAATGGGGAATGGTTTCAATATGAGCTAAGGAAGACTGAAGGAAAGGCGTCTAAGCAAATTAACTATCACATCCACATGCGAATGATTAAAATAATGAAAAAAATAATGGTAGAATCGATAAGACATATATGAGGAACAAGGGGAACGACAAATAAGTTATGATCGGTCTAAACACTTTGCTTTGTTGCTTTAAACAGGATCCACTAATTCAAGAATCAGATTTCTCAAAAATTGATTTGATTGAACACAAGAGAACCCCAGTCTGCATCAATAGAGTAGATCATATTGACTGAAAATCTAGATTAAAAAAGAAAAGAGTAAAAGAACCTGCAGCCAAGAGTGGATGCACACCATTGATGATGTTGATGATGACAATGAAAGAGGAAGAAAAAAAATTCTAGAACTGATTCTAGATAGCCACTAAATATAATGGTGGAACCTTGAGGCATCATTTGAAAGGTTGGGAGGAGCGTGTAGGAAGAGAAGCAAAGCATAGCCGAGGACACAACGTTTCAGGAAAAAGGGTAAAGGAAAGAGTCACATGATGTTCACATGGGTCCAACCAAATTGAATTCTAAACAAATTTGATATTGAGAATTTTATATATATATATATATATATATATATACACTTAATAAGAAATCAGATTTCAACAAAAGGGATAGTATAGTAGAACTAGGATGCCTTAAACGTTTATGCCATACCTCGCATTGGGAATAGTAGAACATGCTAAAGAGACATGACTTCAGGGCTTGGATAGGCTAGAGCACCTCCGGCTAGCCGAAAAACCGCTACCGGCGGCCTATCCAAGCCCTGGTTTCACCGGAAAGCACTCCCAGCGGCGGTGGCAGACACTTGCAGTGGCCATCTCCGCCTAGTCCCGACGAGGGATTGGGCTTCTTTTTTTTTTTCAAAATAGCATATTTGAAACCACGTCGTTTCTATTAGTTTTGTTTTTCAAAAAAATAAAATTAATTTTTTTTTTTAAATTTGGGAGCCTGACAAGGAGTGAGAACAAACTTTGCCTACTTAATATTCTATTAGATGGTCAACGAGTCTGAAGTCTCCCGCTTAGAATCCAAAAAGGCAACTATTTTATTTTATTTTATTTTAAAACAAATACTTAATCAAACGAATCCTGAGTTCCCAAAGAAAAAAAAAAATCAGACGACTTGTCGGCTTCTCTCTTCACTTTTACTCTCTGAAATTTTTTTTTTCCAAAGCCAACATCGAATCAGAGTTGCGCGGCTACTCTCCAATCTCCATCCGAGGGAAGAATTGTAAGATTTTCACCCTTTTGATTTTGTTTGAAATATTTTATTGTTATTTAGGATTTCATCATGAAAAAATTAACTGATATTTGGAAAAAAAAGCCTAAACAAATGGAGTCATCAACATCAGATAATCCGAACAAAAATTCTGAAGGTAGTAGTAAAAGACCTCGATTAGAAATATTGGACAGTGATATTATTGAAAATCTTGGAAAACGTAAGCCAATAGATAATTATCCATTTGAAATTAGAGATGAATTGAGCAGGCAGTATATTTTGAAAGGGCCTACCCAACCACGTAACTATAATTTTTCCCAGACTGATTTTAGCAAAACTAATCGGTCTTTTCAAAAGACATGGTTTCAAAAACATAACTGGTTGGAATATAGTGAGCTTCTTTATGCGGCATTCTGTTTCCCTTGTTATTTGTTTGCCGGAGGTTTAGGTCATAAAAATGGAGATGTGTTTATACCGAAATTGGTTTTAAAAATTGGAGAAATGCTTTAGCAAAATTTAGAGAACATGTGGGTGGTACTAATAGTATACATTGTCGGGCTGTAGAAAGGTGTAATCTATATACAAAACAAAGTGGTAATGTTGACTATTTGATATTGAGAACAACTAAGGAAGCAGAGATTGAGTATCGTATACGGTTAACTGCTATTCGAAATTTAATTCAGCTAATGTTGAAGCAAGCTTTTGCTTTTCATGGACATGATAAGTCACCGGATTCAAGGCAAAGAGGCAATTTTCTTGAAATCTTGAGTTGGTTTGCTGAGGTTAATGCAGAAGTCAAAAAGGTAATCAACTCAAATGCTCCGGGAAATAACCAACTGACTTCTCCAAAAATTCAAAAAGAGATCATCAATGCTTGTGCAACGGAGGTGAGAAAAGTTATTACTAATGAGATTGGAAGTAATTTTTTTTCTCTTTTAGTTGATGAAGGAAGAGATTCATCCATAAAGGAGCAAATGTTTATAGTTTGGAGATTTGTTGATGACAATGGAGAAGTGATTGAGCATTTTCTGGGAATAGTTCATGTTGTTGACACTTCATCA